CATGATCCCGGCAATTGAAAAAAAAAAAAAAAAAAAGCCCCGCAAAAAAAGCCCCGCACTCGCTGGCTCTGGCAGTGGTGTTCAGGGCCTCTGAGGGCTCATGGCACAGCCCCTCCCATGCAGTGGGGTGCAGTGGGGGGCAGAAGGGATTGCCCCCCCTGCCTGGCAACCTCACAACAGTTGTCAATGGTGCAGGTGCAGCATGGTCTGGCAGGGTGCCGCATACTGTTTGGGAGCTAGGGCCACTGGGGCTGAGTGCTACTGGACTCTGGCTGACATGTGGAGCTTCTTTGGCATTCAGACAGTGCACAGCACCCTGCCAGGCCATGCTGCACTCACACCATGGGGCAGCTGCTGTGCAGGTGCCAGGCAGGGAGGGCAATCCCCGCTAGGGTTTTTTTTGCTTTTTTCTTTATTTCCACACTGCTGGGGCTGGACAGGGGAGCCATCAGGGGTGGGACAGCAATGGGAGTGCAGGGTCTGCATGGGGCAGGGCAGGGCAGGTCTTTGCCAGGAGACCCCACAGCCCCTGCTGCAACCAGTGAGTCTGGGGCTTTTTTTTAAAGTGCCAGAAGGCTGGCGTGGGCAGGGAGAGGCTGACACAGCTGGAGGGGCTGCAGGAGAACCTCCAGCAACCCGGCTGTGCCTTCTTCTCCCCGGGTGATCCAAATCTCTGAATCTCTCTAAATTGCTTCAGAGGCTTTGGATTTAATTCAGACCTTTTAATGCGTCTCCTGGTTCAATTCAGATTTGGAGATTCAGCTGCTGAATCAAGCCAAGAATCAAATTGGTGACCGAAGTTTTGCACAGCCCTGCTACTTACAGCCAAAGCTACCTTTGCACCACCAGCTTTCATCCAAAGCAAACAGCTAGATCCCTTGTCTACAAGCAAGCTCTACCTTGCAGCCAGATCTGTTCTGATCCCATTGACTGGAATTTACACCTTAAGGATTTGGAGCATGGATTCCTACAACTACAATATAACCACCAAACTGTAGCCACTTAGATCAACAAAGCCAGACTCAGACCTTGCTCTGACCTGCTGCAATACCAACTTCAGGACAAAGACAACATAATCCCTATGACAGTCCTCAATTTTAACACCTAAGGTCCGTGTTACAACTTACACAGTGAGCTGCTCAAATGTTGATCATTGCTGGTGCTAGCTCAAATTTGGAGCAGTCACATGTTCTGAAAAGTAAGAATTCCCCCCACCCCATCATCCATTCCAGGCTTCCCCTCTCCCTCCAGGGATTCCCCAGTTCTCCTCATCCCTGCAGATCCCTCCCTACCTGACCCCACCTCTGGGGCTGCCTGCCTCACCTCCTCCTTACTTGTGGCTGCCTGTACTGTCTGTCCTGGGGGAGCAGGCAGGGAAGGGTTAACCTGCCTGTCTGATCCCAGCTACTACTTTCCAGCCCAGAGAGAACAGCAGCAGAGGCTGGGCAAGCAGGTTGACCCTCCCCTGCCTGCTTCTCTGGGACACAGCACAGAAAGCCACAAGTAAATGGGAGGGAGGGGGAAGGGCGGGATTGCAGAGGGGCAGTGAGTAGGGATCTGGGATTCTAGGGGCAGCTGGGAGGCAGTGGGGTCTATCTGGGCCAGTGTATGTGTGGGGGTGGGAGGGGATAAAAGGTAATCCTAGGTAGGAGTGGCATACCTTTAAGGTGTCTCAAGAATGTTTAGAACTAGTTTTAGGTGTTAAATGTGTGGACAAACCAGGGGTTAAGAGCTCCAAGAGTCACCTAAAATTAATGTGTAACAAGGCGCTAACACACATCATTAATGACCTCCAACCCCTACTGAAAAAGGATGACCATCTGTAGATAGCCTTTAAGGATAAACCTGTTGTGGCTTACAGTTGCCTCCCACTCCTCCCCCCAACCTCAAATGGCATCCCTCAGACTACCAAACTCTCATCCTCACTGAGGCACCAGGCCATGCAATGGATCCAAATGCCTCTGTGTCCCCACATCAGTACAAATCATATCATCACTGGACCTAATAACAAGGAGTACGACACCCAAGTTTCATTTGTTTGCAATTCTACCAACCTCATGTACGCCATTACATGCTTACAGTGTCCCTTTGCTGTCTACATTGGCCAGATGGTGCGATCTCTATGTGTAAGGAGGAATCAACACCAACTTGACATCAGCTACAGAAAGACAAAACAGCCTATGGTAGAACACTTCAACCTCCCTGGACACTCCATCACTGACCTCAAGGTTGCTGTTCTCAGGCACAGAAATTTTAAAAACCAGTTTGAACAGAAAGTTATGAGAAAAGAAGTCATCCACAAATGGGACTGTGTTTAGTGTGGTTTAAAAAGGAACTATGGGTTTATATTTCATTACCTGGATTAGGTTTTGTGACCCCTTTTTTCCTTTGGGTTTAATGCTTTTTTGCCTGTCTCCTAGCAGACTGACTTCAGACTAACCAAATGAACTAGCTGTCTCTGTCTTTGGAGGCACACATGTGATAAAATATTTGTTAGAATATGCAAATTTATTTTTCCAAGAACAAATGAATCTGATGCGTGCCTGCCTAGAAATGTTTGTTCATCCAGGAGGAAGATCTGTAGAGCCAACCCACCCTCCTTAAATTGAAAAAAGGAATACGATTTTTCAGCAAACCTCAACTGCAGTAGAGTGACTTATTACTTTATGTATAACTATTCTGATTCATAGACTTAAAGCCAGAAAGGACAATTGCTGATATAATCCGGCCTGCTGCATTACACAGGCCTTTCTATTTTAACCAGTCATTCCTGCAGTGATCTGAATAATATGTGAATGAACTAGGGCATGTATGTTAGAAAAAGTTCAGTCTTAATTTAACAAATTCAGGTAATGGAGAGTCTGTCCTATCCTTAGGTAAACTGTTCTTATAATACCTGTGCTATTAAATATTTGCCTTTCATTTCCAAACCAAATGTTTCTAGCTTCTACATCTAATCATTGCATCTTGTTATTTCTTAGTCTGATAAACTAATTCATCTTCCAAGATTAGATTATTTCTCCTTGTGTAGGAACTGGTGTGTGTCTCTACACAAGACATTTACTGCAGTTTCCTAATTAGCTTTGCAGTAAATGCCTCTGTGTCTACACATGAAAGGCTATTTGGCTGGAGTAAACTAATAAACTCCACAGCAGTGTTGTAGGAAAGCAGGGGGATTTGTGGGGAGGAAATCCCCACTTACTCCCTTCCCTTCAGCATCTGGCAGGCAAGATGCCTCGCTAGTGACAGGATGAGCCACAGTGGTGGGTGTACTAGGGCAGATGGAGAGCTGGTTCCAGTGCAGCACTCCCAGGCAGCCCCAAGGTAGGTCCAGGGGCATGAAGGGGATAATAATCCCCTTACCTCATGAGTTTCCCTCAGGCAAGAGTGCCCAGCAGTGAAGGGATGGGTGGCAGGGATGCTTGGGGCAGCATAGCAACCAGCGCAGCTGTGGTACGGCCTCTTAAAAGGTCCCCTTGGGGAACAGAGTTCCCAAGAGGGAGAAGCCCTATTTGGGACCACTGCAGCTGGGATAAGACATCCTGAACAGTTCATGCCCTCAGGGGAGGAAACATCTGACCTCAGCTCACCGTAGATGATTCACCTTAATACAGGACAGGTGAGCCACAGCTGGAGACCAAAAACTAACAGTGACAGGCTTGGAATATGTGGAGGAGAACCTAAAAGGACACAGGAAGTGGTGAAGGAAGGAACCCTATGCTGGAGAGAGGCAGTAGCAGGGAGTGGGGACACACATGTCTGTATTTCTTTATTTTTGTGACCGATGGACTATGGGTAATTCCTGGGAGCTGACCAAGAAGGTACTATGTTTAACTCCTGTCTGTGAACCCTTAACAGGAGGGGCCCTTAATCAACCAGAAGGCCTGTGGTTGGGGTGTAGGTGTCAGAAGAGCCTCTGTTATAGGCTGTGAAGCCTCGCTCTGGGCTATAACTAACTATTTTTTGGACTAGCAGAAAGAGAGCCCTGATGACAGGGCCAGTTTCCTTCTCTGAGGTAGAATTCTACCTTAATACCATCAAGTTGTGGCAGGTGAGCATCCTGAGAAGGTAGTGTACTCCCTAGCAGGGTACACAGCACTGGTCGAGCTGTGGAAAAGGGGCACAATCACAAGGATAGTACTTATAAATACGAGTACTGTTATGCTGCACAGTTTTTCAGTTTTTTATTCCATAGCACTGCAGGTTTAGGTGCTGATGTGGCTGGCTAGGGCATGAGGGTGCTTCAGTCCAGGGGCTGGCTGTCAGCTAACCCCACACTAGAGCACCATCATGTTCCAGCCAGCCACTCAGAAGCACTTTAAGCTGGATTGGAGCAGCCCCAGACTAACTGGATCATCCTCCTGGGTCCCCTGCCAGCCAGGGCTGTTTCAACCCAGTTCAGTGTGTTGTGGCCTTGTGTACACGTTCAAATGCATTACCCAGGAGCAATACACTCCACCGTGATATGCACTGGAGTTTATTGTGTTACGTAAGCTACTATGGGCAGATTCTGGGCAGATCACAGCAGGGTATGTTTGGTCAAGCTAGTAGAGCTGACCAATTTTGCTTTTGCTGTTGGCTTTGGCCAAGGACCCACTGTTCAGGGCCCTGGCCTCTGCTGCAGCCAGGTGAGTAGATAATACCAGGAGGCCACCCCAGCCTTGTCAGCAGTGCAAAACAAACAAAAGAAGTTAAATAAATAAACTATCAGTTGTCTTCCAGCAGTTCTCCCAGGTTTTACCTTCTGGTGGCCTCTTATCTTTCAGAGGCTTTGCAAAGCCTGCGGGCTTGTGCAACAAAGCAAGAAAACAAACAAATGAACAAACAGAAGACAGCCCTGTTCTCGGCCCTCCCCATGGCTGCATAACCCCTGGTAACCCCAGGCTACAAGCAGCCTGCTCCCAGCCAGGTACAGCCCCTTGAGGCTGCTTTCAGCATCTTTTATCCTTCCCTCTATGGGCTTGCATAGCTAACTCTCTCTCACTCCCCACATCTGTGTCAGCTCCCTTGCTGGGAGACTCTCTACATCCCAGGATCTTGTTCTCTAGCCTTTGGTGAGTCCTCCCAGGTCTGGGGTGGGCATGCAAAGGTGCTTCTGGGGTGTGGGGCTGTTCAGACTCCCCTGCACCCTTAGTAACAGGGTGGGGCCCTGTTACATGTTGCATTAATATGCACATACAGATGTGCCTTGTATAAACAGTAATCTTAACTTCCTTTGTTTAATATGATTGAGCTCTTTGTTTCTCACTGGAAGACCTTGTTATGTTAAAACATTTCTGACGGTCCTATGGAAAGTATCTTAAATCAGATTTTTTGAAGCAGTGGAACACTGCCAGTGATAGACATGTTTGAATTTGCCTCTGAAAGCTGTATGTAGGCTGAGGGTCCAGTGATGGGTAGGAAAGGCAATTTTTAGGGAAGCATAAGTAGATTTTTTCAGTTTTGTTCCCATTATCTTCAGTGGTGACAAATGAAACAGCCCTGTTGTCAAAATGAATCTTTCAGAACTTTCCATATAATGCTAACTCCATATTAGTTATGGCAGTCTACTGTAAAGACTCTTCATTGCTGTTGTAACATTCTTTGGAGTCAAAGTTTTTGCTGACACTGCAGTCTCAATAAGTGTTTTCTTACTAATAAGCAAGTGCATGGAATGTCTCAGAAAGAGAGAAGCTTTGCTAAATTTTTAATTTAAGTTCAGATAAGGTAGTAACAACTTTCAAGTACGTTTCTCAGATTGTTGGTGTTTTACTGGAGTCATTATTACTGAAAAACTATTGTAATTGGTTTAAATAGATGATCTTGTTAGCAGTTCCACCAGAAAAGTCAGGGACTTAATGGGAAATGGGCTTCATTCCTAGATATTGTTTTCCCTTCGTATCAGGTTTTAGGAACTTTAAAACAACACAGAGAAATTGACAGCCCCTGTTCCTGCTGATCCTGAGGATAGCATCTCTGGAGCCATCTAACACCTTTCACCAGCATTTTGTTCATTTACCAAAATACAAGTTGGTCAGTAAATGGACTCCTATTGGTTCGGTGTAATTTAATACCCAACATTATCCTTGTTGTTGTAATTCTCTGACACTACAGTATGTCTGATAGGGTTTAGTATCCCACCAGAATTACTCTACAGCTCCTGAATACCAGGAAAGGAGATAGCAACAGACTTATAGGTTTAACTCCTTGCTCAAAATTTCTTTGTTTAGATTGGGCTCTCAAGTGTATTCATTTTCCATACCTAGTGCTGGGAACTGGCTGCAGTACTCCAGATGTCCTTGTAATATTATTCCCTCCAAGTCTGTGTGCATCAAACTGCAGGAGTGAAGCACAAAAGTATTTTAACATTGGCAATGGCATAGTCACCATCAACCAGCAGAATTGATAGTTAGTTCTTCAATGTAAAACAAGGAAACATTGCATACTTTCAGAATAAATGTAACTAGGACCTCTTTCCCCACCTCTTTCTCATTCTCAAGCTTACTGTCTGTGGTAGATTCAACCTTTCCCCCTTCCTCCAGGTCCTCAGAATCCTATTTGTGAAATACCAAGACCTATCACCCATCATTATGGCTATCTTTACACATACAGCATACCATGAAGGATATTGCACTTTCTAGCATTTACTAACACTCCAAAATGCATTCTGCAAGGAAATAGAAAAAAAATTATCTTTTACTATAATACTTTGGAGTCTTTCATGAGGAGCAGTCTAAATTAAGAAGCATGTTTCAAGGCTTAGCTTTAAACTGAAAACAGCCATATATACAATCCAGTAAAAAGAGGAGATAGAACAAGGTCATCATTCTAAAATACTGTATGTGTTTAAAGAGGGGAGTGGAAGAAAATTTCCATCTAGCTTTCAGATGTTTGAGCAGGGAAGAAAAGTTTTGGGTAGCACTTTAAATGTGCTTGACTCTGTTACAATGGTGCCAGCTTTCTTGGTCAAAGTACTGGTTTTCCAGCCAAAGATTCAGACTAGGAACATATAAATGCATTTTTGGAAATGTGTGTAGAGATGAAACCTGCCTTATGTTCCACATCTACCACTTTTCTGTAGAGGTGCTTAGTAAGCTCAATTCCTGAGGTAGCGGTACCCCAGAAGGCCATAATGTCTCCTTTGATTTCTAAAAACCTATTTGCTTATAGCCAGTCATATCTTTTTAAAAGATATGGTTAATCCAGAACCCTCAATTTCCACATCCTTTCCTTGTCCTTTAACTAATTAGACAAATATTTTATTCTGAACAAGTTGTTCTACCATTGCATTTTCATGTTTGTCACAGACTCTTGGAAGGAAGTACAAGGAGGGGCCAAACAGAACACCTTTTTATAGTAGTTCTTTACTTGTAGTCCTAGGCAGAACCAAGAAATGAGATGGTGATTAAAAATTGAACAAGTTGTGGGAAAATGACCAAAAAGACTTCCCCTCCCCATGCCCCTGCCCCGGCATCTAAAATTGGTTTGAACAAATAGAAAAAACTTTGGTTTAGAGACCACCATCCAATTGATTTGTCTAGTAAATTGCTTAATGTCTTATGAAGACTGACCATGAATTACCATGTGCATAACAAGATGATGTGCTTTACAGTGAAGAAATAAAGAAAGTATCCACCCTAGAATATGGTTTACCATTGAATGTTGCTTTCTTAATTCTACTAAGGCCCTCAGCAGCAGCGAATTCAATGAGAGCTGGATGCTCTGCAGAAACCTACCCTTTCTAATGATCATTGCCTGACATGCAGGAGGGACTCTCTGAACTCTGGCCAGCGAGGCAAGTCCTTGTCATTGAACAAATAATTTCAGTTACCACCTTGGCTAGGGACAGGCATTCAAAAAGCCTAAGTCTGAATTGATTCAATCTTTGCAGATTAGTCTAACCTGGCTAGGTTAAATCACTTTGTAACTTCACAGACATGCCAGACACACAGGCATGCCTGTGATGGCTCAGGCTAGAAGCCAGAGGGTGCTAGAGCAGTCCTCCCTTCCCTTGCACACTGCTGAGCTGAAGGGGGGAGGGCATGGCCAGGCCCTGGCAAGACATTCTGATAAGGGAGGTCTGCCTGCATCATCCCAGGCTTTTCGTCACTCACTGTTCAAGAGGCAGGAATGTTGCTAGACCCCAGCCCCCTGCTAGCACTCTGAGGCAGAGAGGGGATGTTTAGTGCATGCATCTGTTGATGTTATGGAGCTTTTCAATCTTCCTCCCTGCTTCTTTATACTGTCTGCAACAAACTGACAGGGAAGCAAGCCAGCAAGGGACTGATAACAGTATTTATCACCTCATTAGCAAAATAATAGCCTCTCTCCATTACTTCAAACTCTTCTTAAACAGCTTACTGGCTGACCTTTTGATTAGTTCCAAACAGGCCTAATCAGTCATTGTTCTGTCTGCCTGTCCCAGTGAAACTGGGGAGACTTACACATAGAGACACCTCTCAGCATTAGCTACCATACCCCATGTCAAGGGTCCATGAGACTGGGCTCCAAGCTGTGGCCGATAGGATGCAGGGGACCCCTGCTTGTCCAGCAAGCAGCAAGGAGAGGGTAAGGCAGGGGGAAGCCAGGTAGACCCTGCTGTGTCTGCAAGTCTCTGCCGGAGCTCCAGCCAGGGAGCAGAGGGGAGGGGTCCACCCTGCAGTGGAGCAGAGAGCCCTGCCCAGCCCAGGGAACATGCTGGGATGCTGGGGGTGTCTGGTTTATCTTAAATAAGCAAGGGTTCTGGGACAGACATTGCATAAACCAGTTTGAGCCAAATCAGTTAAGTCTGATACTGCATTCAACTAGGTGTATCTCAAACTGGTTTCAGCCACTTTCAAACCAGTTTATATGTACTGAGCATCTGTTCTGTTACAGGTTTAAACCAGTTTCTGACCACTTCAACTGGTTTATGTACAATGTCTGTCCCTAGTCCTCCAGCTTGGCTTCATGGCTTCAAAAGTATTACAGTATTAACCTGCGACTATTAAAGTACCAACACTGAAACTTAAGGATATTTGTATGGTAAATGGCTTTGGCACTTACTCTGAAGTGATGCTTCTAGTCTCTGGAAAAAAATTGTGACTCATAATCCTCCTGTTTCAGGGCATATGTTGAATACTGCTGGAGGTCACAAAGATACCTTTCTCAAAAGGATCATTGCACAGTTGGTGAGGTAATTTGTAAGCTGTAATGAAATGAGAAATCAATGATAAATTCTAAAGTATCTTGTATTGACTGTTGTTTCAGACCAGCCTTTTAAAAGTAAGGTATGATATTCTTCAACAATGATGTCAAACACCATTGCTATTGCTAGTATGGCAGTGATTATGGACTAAGCTTGTATATTTTAAAGAGGGAGGATACTGATCTAGACAAATTCATGGTATGTCTCTGTGGCAGTTTCTACATTCTTATATGCATCTGCTCTTTCTCTTCCCCATTAGTTGCTCTCCAGAGCAGCAACTTGGGTGACACCCTAATATTATCCACTCTGTGTCTGTTCATGTCAGAGTGTTTTGCCACAGGTAAGGTAGTAATTTCCCTCACATCATTGCCAGGTTTTGTCATGAAGTTCTGAAAAATAGCCCTCTAGTTTCCATAAGGCACATTTATCTTCGTCCCCAGTTTTAACAAACAA